GTTGCTCCTAGAAACCATGCAGTACAGACTAGTCTAGGACTTATCTAGGGAGAAAAGAACAAAGTCAGAGAAAAGTCCGAAGCCCAGTCATGATGGGGCAATGGAAACTAGCAACTCGGCCACAACACCCTCCAAAAGGCTTTCACAAATATCTCTTATCTGTTGCGTTTACATTTGCTCTAACAGAAACTGGGAACCAAGGCAACCAATTTGCTAAACAATCCTGGCCTTCAGATGGACCAGCAATGGATCTGACTGTGGTTGTTTTCTTGATCATCTAAAGAAAGTCTTAAGAAGTTCCCTCCACCAATGTCCCTTTCAGCTATGCAAAGTAATGCTGGTGGTCTTAATCCAGCATCTTTAAAAATACACACACACACACACACACACACACACACACATATATATATATATATATATATATATATATATATATTTTTTTTTTTTTTTTTTTTTTTTTTTTTTTTTTTTTACAGAGAGGAAGAGAGAGGGATAGAGAGTTAGAAACATCGATGAGAGAGAATCATCCATCAGCTGCCTCTTGCACATCCCCTACTGGGGATGTGCCCGCAATCAAGGTACATGCCCTTGACTTTTCAGTCCACAGGGCGATGCTCTATCCACTAAGCCATACCGGTTTTGGCTTAATCCAGCATCTTGAAGGGTCCAGGAATCTGGAGAAGGTGCTGTGTGAATAAATCAAGAGTCCAGAGACAAAACATAATTTTGGAAGGCATTTTGGGAAACCAGAGAAAACTTAGCTAAAGAAACCAAGTTCTTCTGTCGGTCTGGACCCCTTGCTTTGTATGAACACAAATTGTCCTAAAGCAAGGTAGATCCACATATCAATGGCTAGGATTTAGTATACAGGATCCACTGTCAGATTGGGGGAAACTGCCTATCTGTTCAGGTGTTTGGCCAGTAGGAGGCTTTAACATGTAGATTGAAATGCCTTCAGCTGTCTGGCAGCAAGCAATCATTTATGCATCCTTTTCAGGTTTGGGGAAATGCCCTCAGCCACTCCAGATGATTCAGCCCTGCTGATATGCTGAAATTAGTTTCCAGCAGCAAAGGACCCCCTGGTGGCCACCAGTCACAGAACAGTAGGGCTCTTACCTCCCAGCTCATCCAGCAGGCCCAAAGTGGGGTACCACCCCAGGCCAAATGAGTCAGAATTAGGGTGGACTTAGGTGGCTGAAATTTTTTCATGGGTCTAAGGTAGCCCAATCTTCTAACTTGGTTAAGAAAACCAGTGTAGTCAAATCTATCCTCGTGCCACTCATATATTATTGATAGAGAAACTGAGACTCAGAGGAGAAATTATTGAATTCCCCATCAATTAACGAGGGGCAAAAATTAGGGCATAAACCCAGGCTTACCTGACTCCAGAACACCTGTGGATTTCAAGCGGAACTAAGGCCCCTTCTCCCCCAGAAAGTGTTGCTCCAAAAGATCCTAGAGCAAACCTGACTTTCTTCCTCCTTCCATGAGCAGCCCATGGCACAGTATTCCATTTCTATAAATTATCAACTCCCCTCTCAGGTGTTTCTCTTGATAACTTGATTTATTTTGGCTTTGCTTGACTCATGAAGTCCTGGAGGCTACCAAGCTTCTTTGCTAGTCTGGAAAGGGGCCCCAGGCAGCCCTCCAATTGTGTCTGTGGCAGCCTTGTCCACAGCACTTTCAAGCAGCTGCTATTTCAGGCCTTCGGGCTTTGATATGGCAATTGGGAGGAACTCAAGAAAGCCCACAATCAGGTGTCAGACACCATTACTTATCAGGAGCCAAAGATAAGAATCTGGATTAGAGAAACCAAAGCCATTAGCACAATCAACTTCTCCTGGTTGATGGCACAGGCAGGCCTTCTTGATGATCTAAGGACATGATCCCAAGGTGACTGGGTTATTACTCTGGTGCATCTCTGGTGCCTACCAGATGAGATGCCCTACATTAAAGGACAGAAGCCACATGCTCCCCACTCAGCCCCATAGCTGAATAGTTGAGGCAAGCAGCTGCCTGGCCAGCCTTTCATCTCTGCCCATAGCCTAATGAAGGATGCCATTCCTATAGCTTGGCCTGAGAGTCCCACCATTAGATACATCCTTTTGATGGGGACATCAGTAGGAGGTTCACCTCCTTCTTGCCTCAATATCCTTTTAAGGACAAAGCCAGAAACTATGGAACACAGGCATGCTACTATGGGGGGAAAAAACAACAAGAATGCACTTTAGTGACTGGGGGGGGTCCCTCTTGACCCAGTTTATTAGCTTTCAGCAAAAGAAGTATATGTTGTTACAAATAAAGATATCCAGATGTCAGTGAGAATTAGGATTGGAGAGGTCACAATCCAAGCAACTCCATGATGTCTCAGGAATAGAGAAGGGGAAGCTAGGGCACATCTAGGGGTCATGCTCCCTTTTCGCAACTGAGAGAAAGACCTCTTATACCTGGGATTGGGATTTACTGCAGTTCCTAATTTCTTCCCTCTGTCCCCCAGCCATTTTATTTAATATGAGCTAAATATACATTCCTGGTTTCTTCCCTCCCACCCCACCCCAGTCTACAGCAGGGTAAATAAGCACCAATAGTAAACAAGAATAATTAAAGCCCCGCCTCTCAGTAAGCCCAACCTTTATACATATACATGCCATGTGAATTTTCTTCTTTGGAGTGACTATAGGACGAAAAAGTGGGGATCAGGCCAGTAAGCCATCACCCTGACAGTCACTATTTCCCAAAGTACCATCCATGTGTGAGCTGGACGAGGACAGGGGAGCAGGAATGGTGGTAAGGGGAGAGATTTCCCCAAAGCAGCATGAGGGGTCAAGGAGGTCCCCAATGTCTCTTCTGGGTGAATGTCCCAATCAACCGAGCTCCTGGTAAATCCTATACAAGTTTCCTCAAGAAGATGGCTAGTTCCTGGTGCTTCAAACTTCACTGCCATCTATCTCCCTCAACTTCTTGGGAAGACAGGATGTGGTTGAAACCCTCTTCCCTCCCTAACGAGTGGAGAATATTCCTGTCCCCAAAATGTTCCTTTGGAAAAACTCAACATGACAAACAGTACAACATGACCATTCTGGTTTCAAAACAAAAGCACAGAACATAAAGAGTAAAAAACAGAGAGTGAGACAAAGACATGAGTACTTCCAGAAGGTCTACAAAAAGGGGCAAGGTCTAAAAGGAAAAAAAAAAAAAGCCATAAAAAACACGCTGTCTACCAGGTTCCACATGCCTGGCATTTGTCTTAGTACCTGGGCATCTTCTGCTGCCCCTATAATGGAAGGAGGAGATGGACAGTGCGATACATCAGGGCTGGGGAGAGGGGAGAGTGAGGGCTCTGAGCAGTTGAGATGCCAGCCCTCTGCACAAGCAGCAGCAATTTTTGTGTCATCATTGTTTTGTTTAAAACTGTAAACAGCACCACTTAAAAATAAAATAGATCAGAAAAGAACGACTGATAAACATTGTTTTCCATGATTATAAAATGCAAATAATACAAAAATAGATAATTGACTTTTGATATATATATGTACATATATATATACTAAAAACAACTTGAATGCAACATAGACATGGGTAAACTTGAAGTCTCCCTGCTAATCCCCCACATGCCTCCCTCTAGCAATTGGGTCTGGGGGCTAAGGGCAGGTTGGGTAGTGGCACTGGCAAGGGTGGGTAAGTTGCTGGCAGCAGGATATGGGAAAACATAACCTGCATGTGAGAAGCTACCTTCCTCGTTGGTACAGCATAGAGGGAGACTAGTGTTGACCAAAGCCTTTGGCCCAGGAGACTCATAAACTGGTGCCCAAGCTGGGCAGAGCAGACCCTATCTGGGCACTAAGGCAGGGCTTCCTCAAAGATGCTAAAGCACTGAGAAACTGGCAGCCCTAGGAGAGGCCTCCTAGGTTGCCTTGTCCATCCAGTCACTGGTCCCCAATGGACCAGTCTCTTTTGGGTATTGTGACCAGAGCTGTCTGGCACTAAATAAGCCTGCTGGGTATAGAGATGAGGGCAGCCACCTCTACTCAAGTCATATCTTCCCTTGAAATCTCATCTAAAAGCAGTATCCCAAGACCTTGCAATGCAGACAGGGTGTTTGTCTGGTCACAACCTAAGTATGGACTGGGCATTGACACCTATATTCAGGGCATATTTGGAGTCAGCCAAGTAAGCATTGTTCTATGCTTGGGACAAGGACTGGAGCTTGGCTGGCTCTCCCAGTGTCACCCTGCACTGCCATCACATGTCCCTAGGCAGGTCTTTCTTCCTCTTCTACCTGCAGCTGGGATTTGGCCAGGAACTACATGGATCCAGAATGAGATTCTAGAGGAGTCTATTTCTGCAGCCATGACCTCAAACTGTCCCACTTCTGGTAGTGAGGATCCTATCCCTGGGCTGGCCAAGACAGTGAGAAGACTTGCAGGCAGCAATGTCCAAATCATAAGCTGCTACTCAGTCCTAGGCCCCACTCTGTTGTATGCAAATTTCCAAAGCCCAGAAAAGTATGAGAGGCAGCACCTCTTGCTGCCCTCTTGTCACTGAGGGCAGCTCTCAGCCTTTGGCTAAAGGCTGAGCAACTAATTTTTCTCTTTCCAGACAGGCTGGTGGCCCAGTGAGTTCTGGAGGCTGGTGATGGCTCTATTACCTGCTGTGACTGCCACAATCCACATTCAATCAAGAGCTTCAGCTGCCCTAAAGCACAAGTAGAGACAGAGGAGGCAATTGGTGAGTTTTTCCCTATTGTAAAGGCATTTGGTGAGTGTTTACTTCTTGCCAAACAGTCAGGCAAATTTCAGGCCTGTATTCCTAGGGCAACTTTGGTGGACAGGTTGGAATTTGGGCACTTCTCTGCTGGAATGCTGTGCTTGGTGTAAGGAGAGCCTTCCTCGCCCTATTTCACTCTCCAGCTCCATAACTGATACATTTCTTCATGATGCAAAGTCAGCCTAGAGAGCTGGTCTGGGTCCCTTGAGTGGTAGTATTAGTGCCATGCCAATTTATGTGATGCTTCCAGGGTTACAGCTACTACCAGCCAAACCTGATTTGGGGGGAGGGGCACTGAGCCAACCCCAATCTGAGAAATGAAAACAAAGACCAGTACAAATATATCTCCTGACAAAGGAGCAATTTGTGTACAAAGTAACCTTTGTGACTGGAGAGGAGAAGGCAATGGCATCTATTTCCAAGCCAAATTGCCATTTCAGGAATCTCAGGAGCCCTGATGACCTCTTCATAACAGGCAAGGAAATGGTGGGGATAAGTGTAAGAACAGGTGTGGCTATGGGAGGAGCAAGGGTCATAATTTGGGTGGGTCTACACATCTAGACAAAAAAAAATGTTCCATATACTATTTCCTATAAATAAATTTAAAAGGAACCCTCTCAGATTGGTGATTGGGAGGCTGAGCCTGGTAAGATCAGCCTGCTGCAATGTCTTCCTGACAGCGACTTTTCCCCATCAGTATTTCCAAGCTAATTTAACAGAAAAGAGGATGCCGTTCATTCTATAAAGGGCTTGAACTGCCATGTAAATGAGCATCCTGAAGCTTGGCAATGGGCAGATCAAAGACTTTCCTCTCAAGAAGCCTGGTCCTTTTATGATGCTAAGGACTTAGATAATTGGAAAATGAAAACTCTTGAGTCCAGAACAACAGCCTAGATGCCTTTGTTATCCTCTCTTGGGAGTGCTAGTCTGGAGCCTCCTCACAGCATATAAATGAATGGGTGGGAAAGGCATAAGGAACTTTTTGTGTTTTTTGGGGGGAAGCAATTTTCCCTTCTAAGAAGATGGATTGCCTCAAGCTCTGCAAAATCTGAAATCTCTTTCCCGCTGGCTGGGACAAATGGACCTTCATTTCCTACCCTTCCCTTGGAACCTGCAAAAACCCTAACTCCTTATAGTCAAGCCTAATTTAGGCTGCTTCTCTTCTCATATCTCAATTAAAAGAATGTATTCTTTGTGATGAAATTATGAACATTTCCTTTGGAGGAAAAAAAGAACCAAAATTTAAAAGCACCTGAAACTCCGGAAGTCACAAGCTTAAGAGAGGAAAAAGAAAAAAAAATCCTATCATTCCAGAGCTCAATACTTACAGCAGTGTCTATAATAGAACCCTATTTTGTCTCCTGTTTGTAACTGGATTAATTTGATCACTCCATTAAGGGGATCATTTTTTTCTTCAACCCAAGCTATGGCAGGCCAGGTTTAAAGGCCCCCATCTGGTTATGATGCCAAAGTCCACAGCAGTAGGCAATGAAATATATGCCACATGATCCTTTCTAAGGACAGCTAGCTGGGACAAATATAGTCATTTGATGTAATGGTGGCAGCTATGCCAAGACAGGATGGAGTGAGGATGGGGAGGGTCTGTACCATAATTTCACATTGCTAACAGCAAACAAGCCCCCTGTCCCCACATAGAAGGCAGTGCAGACCTGGCTGTTCATCATTCACTGGACAGTAAAGCTGGCAGGGGGCGCTAAGGATTCAGCCTCTGTCAAGGATGCATGCTATATATATACTCACTAACCTGGCAATTGGAATAGGCACAAAATTACAGCATCCCAAACCTTACATGGGTCACAAGAAGAAACCCCGAAAGCAAAAACTGGAGCACAGCAGCAGCAGCCTCCTGGGGCAGATATACTTGAGCTGAATGTGGCCACAGATGGCAAAAGAGGGAAGTGGGAAAACGAAGGTGAAAACTCATAGGAGCTTTCCTTGACCAAAAGGATTTTCAAGTTAAACAGCACCCCCATCCCCAAACCCCTCTGCCCAATAACTGATCCCCATCCCATGCTCAGGCCCCATGCGCCCACTCCAGAATTGATAATGACTGCTCAGCTAGGTTTCCATTCTGGTGGAGAGGCACAGTGCTCGGCCTTCTCCTTTGACAGATCAAGGCTGGAAGCCCCATACTGAATGGGCTGAGGCTGCAGAGGCTCAGGCTGGATCCTGGGCAGCTGAGGGATGCCATGGGTAATGCCCACAGGCTTGACCTGGGGCAGAGGGCTGGGACTGAAGCCTCCAGAACTGGAGGAGTAACTGGGCTCATCAGCAGGCAGCAGCTTATCTCGAGGCCTGGCCCTTACACTCTGGGAGTCCTGTGGTTGGAGCTTATAACAAGGGCCCATGGGAAGGGGTAGGTGCGAAGGCCGAGCTAGTTGAGGCCCAGATTCCCCGGCTTCCCTTGACTCTCGCCCTGATACTGACAGCATTACTGACATAGCCACAGGAGGTATGCAACAGGCTGCCTGCTGCCTATATGGAGAGTGGCTAGAAGGCCCATCCAACTGGCTGTTACTTATCCAGGCAGGGCCTGTATCTTCTGAGAGAGGACAGGGAGCCCATGCAGACCAGTCGCTGGCCCCTGGAGGTTCAGTATAGAGGGACAAGGGACTGTCTCTGCCCCATTCTTCCTCTTCTTCTTCTTCTTCTGAATCTTCCTGTTGAGCCTGAAACTCATCGGGGTCCATGTAGCCTTGGGCAAGGTGAGAATTAGATAGTTCCTGCTCCAGGGTCTCTGCAGTATCAAGGGAACGACTCCTCCTGTTGAGAGCCATGGCAGCAGGTGTGGGTCGTGGGTGCATGCCAGGCAGTCCCAAGTATCGAGGGAGACTACTCACACCCCAGGGCAGACCTTGATAGAATCGGCTGCGGTAGTTGTTAAAGGCATGTTTCTGGTAGTAGCCCAGTTCAAAAGCTTCCAAAGAGGCTGCAAGGTCCTCATCATTGTGTAATTCAGGATTCTCTTCACATTTGCCTTCCCCATCCCGTTCTACATCAGCAATGTCAAAGGTCACCATAGGGGGCAGCTCAGGGAGGTTTTGAGTAAAGGATGAGTCAGAGTCAGAGCTACAGGACATGCTAGAAAAGAGGTTCCCATTGCTGGTGAACTCCACAAGGGCTTGTGAGAAACTCACGGTGGCGTTCCCTTCCTTCTCAACCTCCTCTTCCTCTGGCTCTTCAGGGGGTGAATAAGTAGGGTAGGCCCTTCTGGGAGATCCTCCAAAATTTGCTTCTTGCATGTCTGGCTCAAACATAGCATCACTCTGGAAGAGCTGCATCAGGCAGGTACTTTGATCCTTCTTGGAGCAGGTTCCCTCAAAACGCTTCTCCAGGGGACGGAAGTCCCTCCAGTCCGGCTCACTGCTTGCAGTGGCAGGAAAAGCTGACGTGGTTCCTCGGTGTGAAGTCTGAGAAGCCCCTGATGTCCCTACCACCAGGCCCATCACTGATGGGCCCAAGGGTCTCATTTGATACTCCACGACGGGCTTCTCTTGCCGTACCTGGGGCTGTCTGACTTGGGTCTCTCGACCACGAGCCTTTCGGGCCTGGGCCTCCCTAGCACAGGCCTCTCGGGCACAAGCCTCATTGGCACAGGACTCTCTGGCTCGGGCTTCTCTCACATGAGCTTCCTGGGTGTGGGCTTCTCGGGCATGAGCCGCCCTTGCATGAGTTTCTTGGGTATAGGCCTCCCTGGTGTGTGCCTGCCGGGCCTCTTGGGCTTCGAGCTGCTCCCGCCGAAGTTCCCAATACAACAACTGCTTCTGTATGGTCACTAACCGTTCTTCTTCTGTCTCCATTGTCCCAGGTGGCCGAGAAATGTTCAAGAAGGGGTCAAATATCTCAGAGCTGCGACCATGGAGGTCATAAAGGCAGTCATCCCCAGGTGGGGAGTTCTCAAGACTATCATTTGGCTCATAAAATTCATAGAGGGCATCTCCACTGTAGCTGTCTCGGGGCAGGCAATCCCTGCGGGTAAGTCCCAGAGCCTCTCCTGAATCATCCTCAAATCCAGGGGTGGTTGAATCATAATATCCCTCATCACTATTGGGGGCAGATTCTTGCTGGTCACTCTGAGGAGTCAAAAGGTCTCCAGGAGCTAGGCAAGGATAAGACCGAGCTGGGTCAAACAGCACGTAGCCCTGGTAGCCTGGTGAAATGGTGGGATGGTAGCCCAGATTCATATTGGGTCTTGGGTACATCTGAGAACTTGCCCACAGATATTCTAAGTCTTCATCTTCTGCTTTCATGTCTTCTTCCTCCTCCTCTAATTCAACCTCCTCTTCCTCCTCCCCTTCTTCTTCATCATCATCATCTGGCAAGGCCATCTCCTCCCCACCTCCTTGATAGGTAACCAGGCAAGAACTTCGCTTGGTCCCATCTCGGTTGGCCCTCTGGCCTCCAGAGGCCATACTGTCTGTCATACTGTCCATGTCCTGCTCTGCTATGATGTCACCACAACCTGTCAGTGAGTCAAAACTTTTAAGGGATGTGACATCTCCAAAGAAGAGGCTCAGTTGGTCCCCCGCAGGGCCACTGAGTAGATTTATATCTCCTACCACCAACTTCTCCCCTGTTGCTGAGTTCTGAGGCTCTTCTGGGACACTGGCTTCAGGGGAAGGTTTGGACTGCAAGAGTGCTGAGGCATAGACCCCCATGGGTTGCTCTGGATTTTTATAGGTTGTCTCTTCAGTGGCTGCTGGAGAAGTCTCTGATGGTGAATAAACTTTTGGTCCATGGGCATCTTGGGGTTTGGAATTTTCCTTTCTTGGGTCTTGAAGGGTTTCCTCAGCATGGGACAGAAGGGCTGAGCTCACATTCTCATGAGGCCTGGCTCTGGCCTCCTCAGGTCCCTTTGCTCCTGGCTCACTTTGCTCAGCACCAGAAACCTTATTCTTCCGGTGACGGCGAATACTGTTGAAAAAACCTTTCAGGCCTTTCTTTGGCTTGATCACAGAGGAAATCTTCTCAACCCCAGCTTTCTCTATGGCTCCAGACACAGACATCTTGCATTTGGAACCTGTCTCCAAAGCCCCGTGGGCACTCTGAGAACTGGGAAGTTGGCAGGGTGACTCAGGCAAAGGTAAGGAGAGGCCAGTTCCTTCACTGACAATGTCTTCTTGGCAATGGGCTGCTTCACTCAAGCCATCATGGGTCCTGCTCTTGCTAATACCTTTCTTGGAACTGCTTTTCCCAGAACCTTTGCTCCGCCCCCCTCCAAAGAAACTAGGCAAGGTACAGATGCCCTTCTTGCCACCAAAGAGTTTCATGGCAGTTTTCTTCAGCCTACCTGGGCCAGATGAGGATGGCTCTGACCCTGGCCCTTCTGTTGTCTCAGCTGCCTTGTTCTTGGCTCCTTTCTCTGACCCTTGGTTCTGGGTATCCACTGAGGCTGCTGCTCCCTTGGTCTGAGTAGCTTCATCTTTTCGGCTCTCCATGTTGATGGGGGACAACTCAGGTATGTTCAGCTGAAAATGAAGCCTTCTGGCTTCTGGGCTCTATTATAACATCATCAGTCAGGAAGCATCATAGTTGGGCCTGGAGGAGATGAGAAAGATAAAAACAGAGACACAGTATTGGTGAGAAAGCATCCAGGCAGAGTTTGTTTTCACAGGTATCTGTGGTTTCAGACTTGAGTGGAACCAGAAAGAAAGAAAATGCAGGGAAAAACTTAATGCACTCCATGTGCTTGGCTTGCTGCCCCAACCTCCTTTGGGCCTCAAGACAGCAAAACCCTATAGTGAGCAATAGGCAGTCATCACTTCTACCATCTTTCACTGAGCAGGAGGAACTGCAGATGTGAGAAAGGCCCAGTGGTGCTAGTGGTTGTGGGAGTAGTTATCAAAGGGGGTATGTTAGGGAGAGGCAGAAAATGCAAAAGTTAGGTCAGCTCTGATGACACAGAATTTTTGAAAAGCACCTGGCAAAAATAGCTCATTGAGTCCTCACTGAACTCTGGGGTCCAGGCATCGAGTTCACATTAGCCCAGACTCTCACCAACATTTTTCCTGGGGCAGGAAAGATAAATATACCTGAAATTTCACCTCATCTTCACAGGCTCCCTAAACTGCTGGCAGGACCATGCTCCAGGACCTTCAGAAATCCAGAGTAGGAGCCTCACAGACCCACATTCCAGAACTGCAATCCAGGATCTGCTAAGAATGCATGGTGGCCTTGAAGCAAGGAATTCTCTGGGCTTCAGTATTCTCCTTCCAAGAAGCCTAGCAATACCTCTCCCATAGTGGTTATGTGTGGGATAGATATAGGTCAGATTCTATTGACTGTCCGCTGGGAAGAGATTTTAATATGGCCCTTAGTCACTGGAACCCCAAATTCTATTTTAGAACCATGAGACAGACTGTTTCTTCTCCACTCCTCTCATTATTTTGGCCCTCATAGAGCTCCCCCATGTATAAAGGGGACTCCTTGAAGGCACAACTCCACAAGAATCATGTTCCTGGAATGAGGCTCTCAACATATATTTAAATAAGTAAACCTAGACTTTATAAGCTCTACTTTAGGGAGCTGCCCAACCCCCTCCTGACGTATGAGCTCTATGAGAAATTTACACCCAGGGCACTGCAGCCACACGAGCAGCAGACACTTGAGCAGCCCACCCCTGTCCAAAGAACAGCAGTCCCACGAGCAGCCTGCAGCAGGCCTAAGAGTAACAGCCCCACATGGCCTGCCACTGTTCAAAGACCAGCAGCTGTATAAGTTGCCCACTCCCCCATCCGAGAAGCAGTAACAACGCGAGCAGCCCACCCCAACTGAGGAGCAGCAGCCACAAGAGCAGCCCATCCACATTTGAGGAACGGCAGCAACACGTAGCCTGCCCCCATCCGAGGAGCAGCAGCTGCACTTACCCCACACCCTGCACCTGTCCGAGGAGCAGCAGCAGAAGCAGCAGCAGCAGCCACCCGAGCAGATTGCCTATGGCCAAGGAGCAGCAGTCCTGTGCAGCCCAAACTGGTCTGAGGAGCAGCAGCTACACACAACCTGCACCTGTACGATGAGCAGCAGCTGAGTGAGTGGCCCTCCCCTGTATGAGGAGCAGTGGTCACACGTGCAGCTCACTCCCACCTGAGGAGCAACAGCCAAGCAAGCAGCCCACCCCCCGTTGGAGGAGCAGCAGCAGCTGCGTGAGGAGCCTGCACCCATATGAGGAGCACCAACCAGGCAAGCAACCTGCCCTTATCAAGAAGCGGCAGCCTCACGAGCAGCCTGCCCCATCTGAGGTACAGCAGCCATGCAAGCAACCCACCCCCCATCCAAGGAACAGCAGCTGTGCAAGCAGTCTTCCCCCACCAGCCAGAGGAGACACCACTGCTGCGAACAGCACCCACCAGAGGAGCCATTACCAACTGAGAAGCCACTTCAGCGACCACCTGAAAAGCAACCTCAGCCCAAGGAGCCACTGCCACCCAAGGAGCAGCCCCTGCATGATTCTACATCTATATAAATTGGTGAGATAAAAAAAATGGGTAGACAAAGAAACCCCCAAAGGAAATAAAAGGAGGAATCATCAGAAAAGTAGTAAAGTGAAACAAAGGCAAGCAATATGTCAGAAAAAGAATTCAGAATAAGGGACATAGAGTTCATAGACCGGATGAAGGAAAAATCAACAGCTTATGTAACAATCAAGAAGAAATGAATGAAAAAAATCAATAACTTATGTAATAATCAAGAAGAAATGAAGAGTGATATAACTGCAATAAAAAACACCATGGAAAGTTTCAACAGTAGACTAGGAGAAGCAGAGGACTGAATTAGCAAATTAGAAGACAGGGAAGCAAAACACACTCAAACTGAACTGCAATTGGAGTACAAAATTAAAAGACAGGAGGAGAGCCTAAGGGAGCTATGGGACAACATGAAACAAAGCAACATATGAATAATAGGGGTGCCAGAACAACAGGAAAAGGAACAAGGGTTAGAAAACCTATTTGAAAAAATAATGTCAGAAAACTTACCAGAGTGGGGAAGAAAAAAGTAACACAAGCTGAGAGTCTTAAACAAGATGAACCCAAAAAGACTCACACCAAGACACATCATAATTAAGATGGCAAATGTTCAGGACAAAGAGAATATTAAGGGCTGCAAGAAAGAGAGAAAGTTACATTCAAGGGAACTCCCATTAGATTATCAAATGATTTCTCAACAGAAACACATCAGGCCAGGGAAGAATAGAAGGAAATTTACAAAGTGATGCAAAGCAAGGGATTGAATCCAAGAATACTCCAGCAAGGAGTATCATTCAAAATTGAAGGGGAGCCGAGACCGGTTTGGCTCAATGGATAGAGCGTCGGCTTGGGAACTGAAGGGTCCCGGGTTCGATTCCGGTCAAGGGCATGTACCTTGGTTGCGGGCATATCCCCAGTAGGGGGTGTGCAAGAGGCAGCTGATCGATGACTCTCTCTCATCGATGTTTCTAACTCTCTATGTCTCTCCATTCCTCTCTGTACAAAATCAATAAAATATATTTTTTTAAAAATTGAAGGGGAAATAGAAGCTTCACAGATTAAAAAAAAAAAAAAAAAAAAAAAAAAAGGCTAAGGGAATTTATCACTACAAAGCCAGCAATGCAAGAAATGCTAAAGGGACTGGTGTAAAAAGAAGAAATAAAAAAAAAAAAAAAAGAAAGAACACAGGTACAAAAAATAAAAATTGCGACAAATAAGTACCTTTCAATAATAACTTTAAAAGTAAATGGATTAAATACTCCAATCAAAAGACATCGAGTGAGTGAATGGATAAAAAAAATGACCCATAGATATCCTGTCTACAAGAAACCAAACCTTAAAACAAGGAACTCACACAGACTGAAAGTGAAGGGATGGAAAAAAATATCTTTCAGGCAAATGGAAATGAAAAAAAAAAAAAAAGCTGGGGTAGCAATACTTATATCTGACAAAATAGGCCTCAAAGTGAAGGCCATAAGAAGAGATACCGAAGGCCATTTCATAATACTAAAGGAATTGATAGAACAAAAGGATGTAACCCTGATAAACATATATTCACCCAATGCAGGAGCAGCCAAATACATTAAACAAAAAACAACACTCCTGGGAGATATCAAGGAAGATATTGACAACAATACAATTATAGTAAAGGACTTTAATACTCCAGTGACATCACTGGATAAATCCGCTAGACCAGTGGTCGGTTAGACTCATTAGTCAATAGAGCCAAATATCAACATTACAATGACTGAAATTTCTTTTGAGAGCCAAATTTTTTAAATTGAAACTTCTTCTAACACCACTTTTTCAAAATAGACTTGCCCAGGCAAGTATTTTGTGGAAGAGCCACACTGAAGGGACCAAAGACCCACATGTTGTTCACGAGCCGCAGTTTGCAGACCATGGCTCTAGACAAAAAAATCGGCAAAGAAACAGCAATCCTAAATGACTCACTAGATGAGATGGACTTAATTGACATCTTCGCCCCAAAGCCACAGAATATACATTCTTCTCAAGTGCACATGGAACGTTTTCAAAAATAGACCACATATTGGGTCACAAGCAAAGTCTCCCCAAATTCAAGAAGATTGAAATCATATCAAGCATTTTCTCAGACCACAATGGCATAATATTAGAAATAAACTACAATAAAACAGCCCCCAAAATTCAAACACTTGGAAGCTGAATAGCATGCTATTAAACAGTGATTGGATTTCCAAAGAGAACAATGAAGAAATTTTTAAAATCCTGGAAATTAATGACAATAAAAGCACAACAATCCAAGATCTATGGGACACAATGAATCAGTCCTGAGAAGGAAGTTTATAGCGCTATATGCCTACCTCAAAAAACAAGAAAAAATGGTAATAAATCATCTAACCTTACAACTCAAACAATTAGGAAGAGAGCAACAAGAAAAGCCCTTAGTGAGTAGAGGAAGGAGATAATAAAGATCAGAGCAGAAATAAATGACACAGAGTAAAAAAAAAGCAAAGAGAGAGGACCCAAATATACAAAATCAGAAATAAAAGAGGGGAAATAACAACAAATCCCACAGAAATACAGAGTATTGTTAAAAAAAAAAATACTATGAACAGCTCTATTCCAACAAACTAGAGAAGCTGGAGGAAATGGGCATATTCCTAAAAAGATACATTCCAAAATTCAATCAGGAAGATTCTAAAAATTTTAATAGGCCAATAACTATGAAAGAAATTAAAACAGTCATCAAAAAGCTTCCAGCAAACAAAACCCAGGGGCCAGATGGCTTCAGAGGGGAATTTTACCAAACATTCAAGGAAGAACTAAAACCTATCCTCCTCCGCTATTCCAAAAAATTCAAGAGGAAGGAACACTTCCAAGCTCATTTTATGAAGCTAGCATCACCCTAAAACAAAACCAGAAAAAGATAACACAATGAAAGAGAATTGCCGAAACCGGTTTGGCTCAATGGATAGAGCGTCGGCTTGGGGACT